CACTTGGTGGGGACCCTGTGTGGTCTAAACTCCAGGACATGATATTGCGTCCAAGCCCACACTGGCTAAAGTTTCCTTTCCTAAACAGGCCTTTGTAGGTGACACCAACAGCAACCCCTTCAACGAGCCAGTACTCCACTCCACCTCCCAGTAGAAGCGCCCGGTCACCCTCTCTGCACAGAACCTGAGCGTAATAATCAAATCTCTGCGGGAGGTCAGGATACGAGTGCCTTGCTCCACATGTTGCCTTCTTGTTCCCCTTAGACAGAGTGAGGTGGTTGTGCGCTGTGTCTGGGTCCAGAGTGAGATCACAGGAATCTGATGGAGAACGAGACGTCATCATCGTTACAAGCATCCCTCCCTAGTTCACAAGCTACATTTGTGGATTATTATGAACATATATTAAAGGTTATACTCATATTTTGTACATTCACTCACATGCTCATATGTTCTTAATATAAACAGTGGAGGAAAGTAATATTTACTCAGTAACTGTACTTCAGTACAATGTTCAGATGGGAATAAATATACTTTTTACTACATTTATTTGACAGATTTAGATTCCACATAAACACATCAGATAAGCTTGTTGAACAACACATTGTTAAATATTAAACCAGCAGACAAACATAATCAGTGTGTAGCTGTGTCTCTTGTCACGTTTCAGATAACTGTTAACTGAGAACTTTGTACTTGAGATTCTTTTTAAAGCAATTTCAGTGTAAGCGATAACAAAATCCACACTATTTTCCTAAGAAACCTCAAAATGGACTCTGTGAGTAATAAAAGTTACGGCAAATCAGGTTTCTGGAGAGTCATATGTTTTAGTCTAACAGGGAAAATAAAATACTTACACCAGATCAAATCTCTTTTATTGGCAATTGTCTCCACAGGAGGGAGGGTGAAAAATGCATTAGTCACCAGGATGCCCTTCCTGTAATGGTAGATGGTTGCTCCGGTGTTTTTCTTATTTTCAGTGGCAGCTATGAGGAAACAGAATTGGCTGTTGTTCTTCAGTGTTTTGGTAAGATCCTGGAAAGCTTTGGCCTTTTCTCTCATTTTGATTAAAACTTCATCTGAGTAGTACCACGGCTCTTCATTGGAAGATTCTGACTTAACTGACTCAAAGTATTTGGCCATTTCATCAAGGCAGGGGTCAGCACTTTCCAGGAGGTGAAAACAAAGCACAGAGCCTCCTCTACACCAAGAACCTCTCTGTCCAGCTCTGACTGACTGTGGACGATCTTTGTTCCCTCCATCATCTCTACACAGGACCTGATGATGTTGATTTCTCTCTTTTTATCTTCCATCCACTTGGTTAGTTTCTCATGGCTGAACGGTGACTTGTTTCTGTCTTCAAAGACTTTTTCTAATTCGCTCTCGCCTTCTTTACCATCGCGGATGGAAGGAACTTTTTTCTCCATTGTCTGTCTGAGGTTAGCTGCATAGTAATGACACAGTTTCTGGAAACTTCTCAACTTTTCTTTGATTGGTGGAAAATCTTGAACCATTTGTCTTCCAGCAAATCGTTGCTTAATTTTTCCAGATGATGCAGGTCCTCCAGAGCATTTTGAGCCTTTCTCACTAGTCCAACACTGATCGCACTCACCAGCTCAGCAGCTTTGCGAACTAAATTCTTCAGTGGCATCAGCCAGACCTTCAGTGGAACACTGTTCTCTCCACTTTCTCCCAGCAGCTTTGGAAGTTGTACGTAGGTCTTCACTGCATCTACAAATGTTGTAGGGTTGCTTTCAAGAATGAAGTCTCCGTAGAATTTGCAGGAGAATTTAGCAGCCAAAGCTTTTTCTTCTTCATTCAGTTTGATGTCAACTTTCCCCTCAACATTAAATGAGGGGATCTTCTTTATCACAGCTTCCATTTTGCCCTTGATGTTCTGAACGTTGCTGGCGTCTAACTTCTCACTGTCAAACACAAAGAAAGCGTTTGCTCCATAAAGGATGCCTGTGACTACATGTGTTGCAGAGCCCTTCTGAATAACATCTGTCTGTTTGGTACTCATGGTTAAATGGTCGATCATTGACAACTGCTTGAAGTTGGTGGTGGCTTTGTACTGAAACGTAACTCTCCTCTGATTCTTGGATTTCTTCTTATCATTCAGATACTTGGCAGATCCTCCAACTTCAATCAGTCCACTCATGAAACTGACCTTCAGAGACGCATCAACATCCAGCAGAAAGGACTTGGATTCAATGGAGTCTGATGTAGAAATTTCAAATGCACTGCCGTGCTGATAGCTTACAACTGTATTGTCTTTTAGAGTTTTATCATCCAAAGTCAAACCTATAAAAAATGTAAAACATCAGTCATCTGATAAAGCAGGAACATCCTTTTGTTAATATAAAGTCACACTAAGCTAATCATAAACATTTTGATTTCTGCATGTTGCAGCTTCTTATCCAGCCAGCAGTTCTCTAAACAGCTAATTTAACTATTGCATGATTCATTGTCTCAATTGACCTAATTAATAAAGGAATTATAGGACTGTGTAACAATGCAACAATAAAACTTCCTCTATCAGCATCACTAAAATCAGCGAGTATTTTAAAATAGTGTTACTGCTTCATGAAATTATTTCAAAGCTCATGTAATCAGAGATAATATTTGTTTAATGTCAAGACTGTTAATGTCAAGTCTCACCTGGGATTAGTTGATCTTTCCGAGCATCGTAGAGCATTCCTAGGGTGAAAGGTCGACCCAGAGCAGCTATCTCCATGGTACCTGAAGATATTTCTCCAACCTGTTGAGAAACATCAAGTAAGTGACAACACGGCCGTTAGTACTTCATTTAAACTTCCATGTAATCACTCATGAAATAATTACTTTTCTATTGCCTATTTGTGAATGGGTTGCAACCTTACATCAAAAACCAACGACCTGCCGGTTCTGGGAACAGCCACTATTCTACTACTTATGTGAAAGAATCGTGTCGGATTTTTGGCATGCATGCTATCTCACCTCTCTCTACTCTCACCTACTGATTCTGAACCGTACATACAGCGACAATACCGTAGCAAATGATATAGAGTCCACTAACACCAAAAAACATCAAGGTTCCTGCACAACACAGACTTCAACGCAGGATATAAGGATATAAAAACAACAGAAGTTTTACGTGCTGAAACCCGTCAGACCAAACAAGAATTAGATTGTTAGGTCGGGTAAAACCATGGGTCATCATCTGGAACTGAAAAAAAGGACCCAAAGTTGGCTTTCATCTTGTTGGACTAGTAAACTAACATGACTGCGAAGCATGCAAATTATATTGTTAATTTGTGCTTTAGTTGGCTCAAGTTAGATAATGTTAGCTTGCTGGCTAATGCCGACCAGTTGCTACCGTTTTCTGTTGCAAAATACTACAGCTTCAAGTTATTATCACAAACTGGCTAAGGGAATGTGACAAAGGCTACGTTCAGACTGCAGGCCAATGTGACCCAAATCCAATTTTTTGCCTATATGTGACTCAGACCTGATCTTTTATGACAGTGTGAACAGGCCAAGTCACATGGAATCTGATCTTTTCTAGTTCGGAATTGGGCCACTGCCATATGTGGTCCAAATCCGATACAGATTGGATCTATTTAAATGTGACCTGAGTCTGGACACTGGAAAAAAAATCAGATCTGGGAAAAAATTGAGAATTGAGCATTAAGGCCTGCAGTCTGAACATAGCCAAAGAGAGTTTACACAAGATCAGAGGTGGGAGTAAGTAACACATGTCCAAATCTCAAGCAACTATACACAAATGTTTCTATTATTTAGTCTACTATTGGCATCACTGATAATTGAAATGTGGCTGCAAAAAAGTAGAGTAATAGAAACGTGCCTAACGGTAACCTCTTATCATTCCTGTAAAATTCGCTCAAAACACCTATTCACACCTATATCCAAAGTAAATTGAATGCAGTTTTGCATTTTTTGGGCTTCTCTGAGAGATAACACTCTGAAGTGTCCAACCCAAATGTCAGAATCACTATAAGTGCTACGGGAATTGATTAATATAAGTTTAAACACAGTAAAAGTAATATATTTTTTGTCTCCTCTTGAAAAAGTTTACTTACAAATGCATGCAGACAACTACATACAATTGATCAGCGTATTAAGTTACGTGAGTTAAGTTAAGTTAAATGAGGCTTCATAGGTGTGTCGTGTCAATTTTGCCTAGGTATGTTACGTGCCTATAGTCACGTAACATACCTTTATTTATAGGTTCTATATTGATGGATGAAGTTAAATATTGTGGTGGTCGTGTTTTTGAGCTGCAGACCTTGCACACCGCTGTTCTTTCCTTTCTACTGTCATCAGAATATAATCCTTGAATGTCTGTGTTGTACACGTAACATTAACGGTCTTTTTCTACACTGCTAGTTATGGAGATCGGGGCTGCTATGTGAAAGCACACATGGTTACAGGATTATACTGCACATGTTGGAATGAGCGAATGCAAGTATTTCATAAAAAATAATTTTCAAGTCATCTGTCTCAAGTCATGAACACCAAATCAAAGTCAAGTCAAGTCTTTTGTCTGTTTTAGTCAAGCAAGTCTTCAAATTTGTGACTCCACCTCTGCGCAAGATACTAACTTAAAACAAGAATAATTTATTAAACTAAAGTACACAAAATTAACGAGGTGTGGAAATAACAATGTAAGCAGTGCATGAATGTGTGGCATATGGTGTAGGATTGAACTCGCCCAAGATGGAAAGTAGACTCCTTTGATCTGTGCCGTTGAGCCAATCAGATTTCAGCAAAAACAAGGATCAGTCCAAGTTGTGAGGGGCCACTCAAATCTCCCCTCAATATTGAAAGCATTCACTGCAGCCGGCCAGCGCAGCGGTGGATCATAAAGTGACACATTAGTAACTGAAAAATAAAAACTCTTCACCACTGGCCGGTTCGGCCTGAAATCAACCGAAATGAATGTTCCTGAATTCCCAGACTGACTGTAACAATAGTCATACATACAGTTAGTTTAAGCCATTTTCTTACTTAAACATGGCCGTAAAAGTAAAATATAAAACATTTCCTTCGTAACCTTCTTTTGCTCGCACCTATACCTACAAATCTCAAAACGTTTAGTCGGGGCTGAACTCAGCCCAGGGTGGAGTCACAATCACAACAGAAAAAGAAAGAAGAAAAAGAAACATGTGGTGCCGAAAATCTAAGAATTAAGTTGAAAAAAATGAGGCAGCTAAATGCGCCTAATTAGCTGGCCTCTTTCTGGGTGGAAAGGTGATGTGGCAGGTGCAGGTGAGGCAAGACCCAGCACAGAGACAGGTGCGTGATAAGTGATAAGTAATGCATTTATTAGACCTTATTAGGTCTATTATTATATATATTATAAACAACAATGTGTTATCACACAAAGACAACGTTGTTCTATAAGGGAGGAATCTCTATGTCTGTTTATATATTAGCTGTTAAGGTCAGTGGAGGTGATGCAGAGGTACAGGGTGATGACGATCCCAGTCATGTTGATGAGGAGGATGAGAAGATAAAGGAGGAGCTGCAGGAGGAGGAGGAGGAGAAGGACAATGGAACCAGAAAAACAGTGACAGGTACAGGGGCCTGTGCAGGACTGCATACGTAATCATATTATGCATTGATAGAAATAGAAAATGGATTATTGGTAGTCATTTTTATTACTGATGTTCTTCTAAATAACACAAGCAGGGCTTGAAGCTCATCCTCTCTGTCAGAACCAATAAATCCACGTCAGAACCATTTTGAGTTTTAAGTCAAGTACTTCAGTAAAATACTGATTCTCCAATTTGTTTAAAGAGCTGACATACAGATTTTAAATTAATCACAGAAATCCTTTTGAGTTTGAGGGCCAGTATTTTTCAGGCATTTGGCAAATAGAGTCTAAAATTAGAAATTAGACAAATTTTAAGATTTGCTACTATTATTATTATTCTAACGTGATCTCTGTGTCTGTTTTTCAAGGTGACTTAAGAAAATATTAAATTCATAATCAAACACGTTTTTTATTTGTATTTTTGATAAATTAATTTTTAATTAATTAGTAATTAATAGAGTAGTAAAAAAATCTTAAGAAAAATCAATGAATCAGTTGTTAGATTAATAAAAAAAAATCATTAATCAATTGAAAATAATTGCGCAGCCCTAGTCGACTGTTCACAGTGACCATGCAGCACTATTAACAAAATCAGTTTGGAAGAGACAAAAGTTAGAATTGGAGTCCTCCGTTATATTGAGATCGGAATTTAAATATAAATGGAATCACCATCTTAAATTCAGCTTTAAAGGAAATTTTGCCAGTTTCAGATTTGTCAAACTGCTATTCTATTTGTGAAAATACAAAAAAGGACAATTTAAATTAATTTTTTACATGTAGACCGCAGTGGACCAGGTCCTGATCAAAGCCCACCAGTTGTCCTTATTGTGGTCTTACCTATGCCTGAAGTATCCTGTTCATTATTATATCGATTAAAACTTAAAAGATCTCCTCTGGTTTTGAAGCTTTTCTCCATTTTCAAAGTACAATAATATGTTTAGCAAACCTGAAAGTGGGTTTACAGCGTCAAGGCTTTACCTGAAATGCCTAAACAAGAGGTGTTGGTTGCTCAGCAATGTAAAATAAGATTTTCCTTAGCTGCAGAATCAGAAGCTGATAAACTACATGATTCACATATACCATTATCACTAAAGGAGGCAGAGGAACAACTAAACATTTGGGACACAAAGGAAGAGAGAGCAGGAGAAGGAGAGGACTGTAAGAGCTTTAGCAGGACTACTGTCAGATTAAAGGTATGGCAGATAATTAGCCACTGTAATAAAGAATCTAACACATTTAACTGGGTTTAGCAAACAAAGCCCTACTAGTAAAACACAAGCACGGGAAACGAGACAATAAGCTTACCGTACCCGTCAGCACCTGAACAGACAAGTTGTGCGTGAGTCTTCCTGACTTCCAGCTGGAACTGGAACTCTGATGCTCTGTGATGCTGCAAGATTTATATCCTGTCAGATTCTCTTTTCTGCTGCCTCCTCCCATGACACTCCTCCAGACATGACAACTACCATTTGTAACAGATATTTTTTTCTGTAAAGAACAGGGAAATAATGAGACAGGAAGCAGGTAGTGTCAAGGGCGTCACTTTGTGTTGAAAAGGGGTGGGGACACAATGTCTCAGATTAGGGTGTGACATTACACTTAGCTCTGAGATGTGATGACGCACAATATTGGGTTCACTATAACAAGATGAGAAGATATTTTAACACTATTTTGAAGAAATATTCAATGCTGAAATATGTGACCCCAGAATCTTTTTTGCATCATTTCATTTCTGCAATCTGGAGAAGTTTGTGCACTAATTGGTTTTGTGCTTCTGTCCCTCACTCCTGTCAGACTTTATTATACATGTTTATGTTTTAACTGGACTTTGACTGCATACTTCATGCACACATTCCCCTTTATAGACCCAGGCCTCAAAGGTCTCAGATGCAGAAATTTGTCACAATCGAAAGTGCAGTGAGCAGAGTGCAAAGGATGCAGGAGTGACTGTAATATACAGGTACACATACATGCATGCACACAGTGCGATGAAGCACAGTGCAGTGGATGCTGGAATAAATGAGTATTACAGAAAGTATTACAGTAAAAAAAACTGGCTAAACTTTCCTCAAATTACCCCATTTCCTGCCATTTTAACAAACTTATTTCACCAAGCAGTTTAGAGGTAACATCATGCTAACAGTATAGCCTTATATTGTGACTTCCTAAAGCACTAACACATTGTTTTTTCCAGACTTGTCTGTAATTGTTTAGACTCAACAATCATGACTCCTTAAACATACAAAAGTCACTTTGAACTGTTTTTTATACTTAAATGTGCTCATCACTTATTCAATGGGCCTCTCACCATCACAGGATGAGTAAAATGGATGACTCTTGATTAATTAATTATGTCTAGGGTTGCCGAGAATCAAGGGCTGGCCCATTTTCACAGGTACAAAACTTTTTTACACATTCACACATTTGAATGTAAAAGTACAAAACATTTTCACAAGTACAAAACTTTTTCACACAGCTAAAATACATTTGGGAGTAGCAGCGTGTCAAACATGTGTTTGACCAACATGTCAAATCATTTTACATGCTTCTTCAATTTCAGAAATATGGCCAAACTCAGATCTGTTGTATCACAACCTGAGCTAGGGATGATCATCTATGCATTTGAAGTGAAGGCTCCGACACTGTGAACGTTCTTCCTTCAGACGTACATTCAGTGGTATCTGACGCCTTTAAAAAGCAGCTGAAGACTCTTTTGGCCTTTGCCTCGTGCTGTCTAATGTGTGTAATCTTGTGTGTTTTTAAGATGTTATCGCTCAAGTGTTCTTGTTCTGTTTACTGTGACCTTGCTTTGTAAAAGGTGCTATCGTAAATAAACTTAATTTACAACAGTCCTTTCAACCTGAATCAATGAGAAGTGTCATCTGTACAAATGTAAAGTGACTTACACGCACATTGGTCTGCATACTGCACAATTGTGTGTCACAAGACTGTATTTTCCTGAGCTTTAACCTCACTCTAACACAGTGGTTCTCAACTTTCTCTGGGCCAGCCCCCCCATCCATTACCCAGGTCCCTAACTGCCCCCCATCAAAAGAGATGTGGGCTACTTGCCTTGAATATTGTTGTTTATTGCTGATTGTTTGTTGGTTGTTGTTGAAGTTGTTATTTTTGTATTTAAAAACATTTTTTAAAAAGCACATAATTGAATGAATAACAATGTACTTCTTACTGTCCCAGTGAAGAAAAAAGCTATGTGAATAGTAATGATATATAAGTGAATGTTCCTTCCAGAAACTGTGTGTGAACTTAATAAGCAGGGGGCCTGGAGCTCTTCCCCCAGAACGTTTTGAGCATTAGACTTAATTTCCTGCATTCTGGTGAAAGTTTCTGACAATTCAAAATATGTAAACATAATAATAATATAATGCAGGGGGGAAACGAAACTAAGTAACAACACCTGTGATCAGGTATAAATCTCAGTGAATCGCAGTGAAGTAAACTGGCAGGTTTTAATGTTGCAGACCACGTAGTTGAAAGTTTAAAATCGTATTGTTGTGAATCTTTGGTGTAAACTCACCTTAACATTTTTAACTCAACAAACGTCCCCAAAGAGCATCTCAGCGCCCCCCTTTCCAATATATTGTTTCCAGCGTCCCCTGTTGTCCTCTGAACACCCCATGGGGGATGTAACCACTCCCTTTGAAAGGGGGCAGCAATAGGGACGAGACCATATAAATTCTCTCTCAGTGCAATTTCGGTTAGGGAGGAGGTGACCTAATTGAATGTCACTGTAATTCTCCAAAAATGACCATTAAATCCAAACTGACTTCCTGTCCGGTTAAGGCAATGGCTCCAATCCAAAATAAATCCACAAAAGCACAAGAAACACTAGAGAACACAGTCAAGGAGAACACTAGGCTTGAACACGTGAAAACAACAATGAACTAGCCCAGAGTGAAGGGGTAAATCACCTACACAGGCGAGGATGCAACTAATAAGACACAGGTGAATCCACTAAAAGCAATCAGAGACAACCGACACAGGAAGCAAAGAGACAGTGAGACATGAGGCAGACAAAACTACAAACTAAAACCTCCAATAATAAACAAGACATGAAATCACAAAATAAAAACACAACACAGATGACTTTAGTGCATAGCTGACAAAACCTACCAAAGCAAGGAACACAGACAGTAAAACAAGACCACTTGTAAAACACTAGTAAAACTCAAAACCACAAGGAAGCATGATGAAGAAACAAATCACAAAAGTTACACACTACAGAGAACAACACAAGGGCAGGGAATGAACACAGAAAACAAGGCCGAAACACACCCAACCAACCCAAATCCATGACAATAAAGTATGATAAAATCTTTAGAAATATGTTGAAGTTTTTTTAACAGGACCAGGGCCCCTTACAAAGGTATGTGCAAATAAATGACAGTGTGCTTCTCCTCGTCATGTTCTTTTCTGCAGGTGACTTGATACCAGCCTTCAGGCTGTCCAGGAACAGCATCAACATGCTGGTCCAGATGCTGCCCCAGCAAAAAGGCCATCGATGGAGCCATGAAATTGAGGTTCAGCTCACAGTCCACTGGCCTGCCTGTGGAGCCTCCCGCAGACATCTGATATGCCACTAGCCACAGTCCTCAACATTGTGGAGGAAATGATGCTGGTGCATCCTCCACAACATTTGCGTGGCAGCAGATGATATCCTGGAGGAGGAGGAGGAGGAGGAGGAGGAGGAAGAAGGCCCGGGCCCAGATTATGTTCCATGCTTTTCTGCTGATTCATCTGTTCGGATTATTAGAATTTGTGTTTTGTTGCCTACCTGTAATTGTTACGGTAGTTACACAGTTCCAACTCTGAGGACAGATTAATAAGATATCTTCTCCTTTTCCCATTGTTTAGATGTCATAGAAGAGTTTAACTGCTCATGACAAGTGTTGACCATTGTGGAAACAGGTATGATTTAAATGTATGGAAACTTTCTTATAATAAAGTTAAAAACCTAGAGCAACTTAATCACATGTGGGCGAAACTCAACTGAACCCTGACGTCACGTTTGTCCTTTGGATCCCCATTTCCTTTTGAGTTGACTGCATTGACAGCCAGCAGAGTTTTGTAAAGTTAAATGTAAGTGAATACCCAATACCCTTTAGGTGAATAACCTAAAGGACTTCCGACATTCAATAATGAAACTGAATTAGGTAATTTGCTATCAATTTCTCTTGTTTCAACAATGGTGCCCAAGGTGTGTCAAGGTGTTATTAATTATCAAATTATAGTAACAATAAAAAAAAAATAATAATCATATTATTTAATATAAATATTGATGCCATCTAAAACCTAATCCCCAACAGCAGCAGTTTGCCTAAACACTTTTCTCAGGTGACGGCAGCCTGTACCAGACCTTACACCGGGCCTTCTTCTCTTGTGCTTCATTTCTTTAGAAGGCTGCCAACAGCAACGAATTGATGAAAGGGTGTGGCTCTCGAACAAGCAGAGAAGCAACAAATGGTAAGGCAAAAGTTAGCTATTCTATGATCAAGCGTTGATGTCACCTGAGCTCTTAAATCCCTAAATTACCATTTAGTTATAGCACTTGGATCCAAAACCTACGTCCGTTCATTCCCTTTCATTTGAGTCAAATTCCTTTCACAATAGCCAAACTAGAATTTAACTGAATGCAGTTTTAACAGTTTCAACTTCCGTTTGTTACATTTGTGTTGATGCCATAAAATCACTGTTTGTTTGCTACGGTATGTGTGTACTGTTTTATAACTGAGGTCTCTTTCAAGAAAATTCCCCCCCAGATTAGACGACAGATTGATTCATTATTACATTTTTTTTCAATTGCTAACCTGCGTCGGTCAAAACTGAAGTCACATTGTCAAAACTCTTCACACAGTCAGTAAAACAGAAGTGGATGTGGACCAAACTGTGAATCATTTTTCTTTACTTTCACACAAAATGCATTCAATTAGGGCTGCGCAATAAAACAATTATAATAATTATTGCAATACAATTTTCCTCAATAACAATATAATAAATGTTCAATATATCGTCAATAAATATTTGGTTTAATTCATTTGAATCACAAACAAATTAGCACTTAAATTTAAAAGTTTACGAACATTTTATGTTAATGTGCGCAGAGAAATGTGTGTAGTTTATTGAATGTGGTTTTACTGTAAAACTGCAAGCTGAGTGTGAAGCAAGAAATGTGCTTGTATTTTAGCAGAATTGGTTCAAGGGTTTGGTATAACAGGCTGTGGTCATACCAGTTTAACTGAGTAAACGACTGAGAAAGACTGTATTGCAGCACTGAAATTTCAGGAAAATTACTGAATGTATTTCTGATTCATTCTTGTTACATATACTATAGTGCAGTCAAAAAAGTGAAAATATGTTATTCTCACATTTTTCTCTCAGTCGCTCTGATACATTTCTAGAATCATCCTTAACATTGGTAAAACTATTTGTATTGGTAAACTATGGCAAAGGTTTGGATGATAATGATTGAAAATGCACAAGCCTACACTTTTTCTGTATGGCTTAAATCAATTTCAACAGTACAGAGTTATATATTGCAAGAGATTGGACAGGATTCACAGTTACGCTTTTACTGTATGCACTCTAATTTAACTAGCAGAATTTCAATTCTGATCTGAGAAATGTACCAAAGTGACTTGAGAATAAATGTATTCTATGATGAAACACTGATTTATATGAAAAAATCAGTCATATTTCAAAGATAAAAGTTCATTAAATTTACGTAATGCTTCCTGTTGTTAGTGTTTTATAGGTCAGTGTGTTATGAGTGACACTGCATGCTTTCTGAGTGAGGATTGTTGCCATTGTTTGGTTGAACAAGTTTATTTTGAGACTTGTATGAAGTGTTTTGGTGCTTTGAGCTACTTTTGGAGGTGAGATTAACTGTTTGGCCAAGGTGCATGTTGGTAATGCGGACTGTGTTTTGAAAAAGTGGCTACAGTTTTGACCACTGATTATTTTATTTGTTTATTTATTTGAAAGGGGACAGTGTACATTAATCAACATTAAAACAGTGTAAATGTACCCAAGTTAGCTAAAAAGTGCTAATTTTCATCGGTAGTCCCCCAGCCAGGTGTAAAAAGGCAGCCTTAAAAATAATCACAGGTATAAAATCACAAGATAAAATGACATACAAAACATTATGGTTAAGAAACACAATTCATGTAAAATAATTATATACCATTTAAATGCACACAGAAAACATTAGTGCCCACAAGTTTGGTTCTGTACAAGACATTTTTTAGCATTCTTTTTGAATGAAAAGAATTACAAAGACTCTCTGATGTTTCCAGGACTGTGTTCCATTGCTGAGCTGCTCTTACGGAGAAGACATCCTGACCAAAAGCTGTTTTTCTCCAGGGGATAATGAAGTCTTCCCTCACTGCCCCTCTGGTTACCCTGACCTCACTGGATCTGAAATGTATTAAAGTCACATAGTGGAGGAGGTGCTAAACCATGTCTGATTTTATAAATTAGACAGATGTTTTTGAATTTAATTTGATTGTCACAGGTAAGTAACTGATAGTTACTTAGTAACTGATATGTTTCTCTAATGGTTTTATTGTTGTAGAGTGAGTATTGGACCAGCTTATTAAACAATATGCTATGTGGGATAAAATCATGGAAAAGAAATATGATTTAGCAGCTTCAGTTGAAAGAAAATCTCTGATGAATCTGAAGTTTGCTAGATTGAACTTCTTATTGCTAACTTTTTTGTGAGTTTTGAAATTGAGGTTTGAGTCTATGTGTAATCCTAAATATTTATATTCTGTGACGACCTGTAATCTTTCTCCAGATATAAAAATGTCGGGTTTTTGTTGCTGTCTCTGTAGAATGATTAGCCCTAAATCCAAACTGCAATGAGTGCAAAGGAAAAGAACTGCAATTTAGATGACCAGTTTTTCAAAAACTTTAGATACTGTTGGCAAAATGCTAATAGGTGATGTAAGAAGGGAGTTACCTCCTTTAAATATGGGAATGACACTAGCAAGTTCATGGCTCAGGAAATTTCCCTTGATCTAGTGACAAATTAATGATATGTGTTAGTGGACCCATAATTGACTGACCTATTTGTTTTAGCATGAGTGTGTCCATCCCTCACACGTCTTTTGCACTTGAAGACTTAAGCTGTGCAATTGCCTTTTCCACATCGGATATGGATACAGATTTTAGATATAGTGGGGGCTCAATTACCAAATCTCAACTAATGACAGGTAGGTTGTTAAATTTCACAGGGAAACTTTTGGCTATGGTCTCAAAAGAATCAACAAAATACTCGTTTAGTGTCTGTGCCTCAGCAGACGGATCCTGCAAAAGCATGCCATTGTTCTTTAGTTGTATTGACTTATTACTGGAAGAAGTTTTACCTGTTAGTTTATTGATCTGTTCCAAAATAGCTTTTGAGTTTCCATGACAGTTTTTAATAATTGTGATAAAAAAGTCTGCCTTTGCTTTTCATAGTTGTCACTTCATTCCGTAACAAAGCAGATTTTTGTCTGTCACAAGATAATTTTGACTTGTTGGCTTTTTTAAGGGCATTGTCTCTGTCTTTCATTAATTGTTGGATATCATCACTGAGCCAGGGAAAGAACACTTTCTGTTTTTGTGTTTAATTGTCACTGCAAATTCATTAATTTTTGTTTGTAAGCATTCAGTGAATTTCTGACTAATTATTTCCAATTCATTGTCCAATAGCAGAGCGTCCCAGTTCATGTTTCTTATTGCTGTGTGAAATTGTTCCTGTTTGCTCCTTGGAATGCCAATGAACTCCATTTTTCCGGAATAGGCTAAAAATCGCTTTCTGGTTAATTTTCTTGTTATCAGCACCATGTTATGATCTGAGAGACCAGTTATCATATTGTAAGATTTTGT